AAAACGTGTTTCCAAACAAAATAACTAAATCATCAAAAAGAAACTTTATAAATGTTAATTATTTACATTATAAGGTTTAAACTAAACATAATCACGAAATCCAAATAAAAGTGCGATAGACAATAAACTATGATGATTAGAATTTGCAAGCGAGAGATTATTTAGCTGAAATTTGATAATTTCGTTTGTTACTTTCATAATCTATGGAAGAAAATATTAAACAATCTTAAAATGGCAAAATTGGAGAAATAATTGAACAAGGAGTCAAGAACATACAAAAACCTGTAATTTTGTTTCCTGATCTTTTTCCAGATATTTCAATATTGAAATAGCCTTTATCTTTTTCCCAATCTTTGAATAATGAACGAATTTATAGATGATTTCCTCTTTCTCTTTCCAATTTTCATTTTTTTCCAATTTGGAGGTTGGTTTTTGTTGATGCGGTGATGTTTATGTTTGAGCGTATTTTTTAGTTGAAATATACTTAATTACCATTTAACCTAAGTTTATTATGTTCTTTTTTTCAAAATTGCCCCAAAAATATAGGATATTTGTGTAAGTACCCCATATATTTTTGTTAAGTTTGCATGAAAGACCTTATGATCTGGACCTTATCTCAAAGAGAAGCTTGATAAAATAGCCAAGCCAAGTCTTGGACTCATTACGAAGGCATTGAAATTTGAAGTTTTGAACCTTTTTTTTTTCCTCAAGCCACAAGTAGAAAAATTTTATACCACCCATGAAACACACTAACTAGTTTCATTAGCACAAAGTTTATCAAGTGGTTAAAAGTACATATAATGAAACAAAAATAGGGTCCAACTCCACCATGTTCCTCCCTTCATGATCACATTCTTCTTCCATATATAGACTTAATGCAATGAGCTTAGTAAACATAGCCCTTGACAAACATTCCTTTCTTGGCTTCATCGGATTCACCCTCACCGGTGTACTTCCCTACCTGAGCAAGAGAGTTGGCCTGGGCCCGGACCAGTAGAGTATCTTGTGCTGCCTTAACGTTCTCAGGGCGTCCTCCCCATGTCTTCAAGCACGTGTTCTGGAGCGCCCGAGCGTAGGAGAAGGATACGTGCCATGGGTTGGGAGCTTGGTTCATGGCATTCAAGTTCAAGGTTGCTTCCACTTCAGATTGCCCACCAGACAAGAACTGCTCAAAAAAACAATTGACTCTTTTAGTCTATGCATAAGATCCCATGAACATATAAATTACTTACTTTGAAGGTAACTTTAACTCAGTGTCAAATAAGTAATTCACTTATTTAATTTTGACCAACAAAAAATCGACTCATTTCAAAACTTGCTTATTTGCCTATATGTAAACTTTTTAAGCCTAGCAAAAATTCTTAGGTTCCATATCGAATCTGTCTAATTCATCTAGTTCACATGCACCCTACTAGTGAACAAGCCCTGCTAACATGTCTTTGTCCGATTCGATTTCAATATCCTGATTCTATCTTGTTTCATTAGTCATTGAAGGAAAACTATGGATTGAGCTTTAAATAGGATACTTGCCATGATTCCAGGGACGGCCGGGGGGATTCTCCTATGAAGAAGCTTGAGAGTGTAATCAGCAACTTGCTCTGGGGTTGCCCTATCCTTGCATTCGGCTCCAGGAGTAACCATGCTCGGCTTGAGTAGAATGCCCTCAAACAGAACATTGTTCTCAGCCAAGTAGAAGAAAACCTCGGCCCAAACCTTTAGGGCAACATCAAAAGTCCTGTCTATGCCATGTTCGCCATCAAGCAAGATTTCTGGCTCGACAATTGGAACCAACCCATTGTCCTGAATTGTAAATGAACGTTAATTTTAGCATTTGTTTGCACTAGACAGTATCAAGAAAGAAAAATAAGCTAAAATCTTGTTTATATAAGAGTCCAATCGAATACTTGTATCTAACAAGCATTACTGTTTTTGTTTGCAGAAAGGTTCTGCTTTAAACTCGATACATACCTGAGCAATGGCAGCATATCGAGCCAGGCCCCAGGCAGCCTCCTTCACGGCCAAGGCAGATGGACCGTTTGGAATGCTCACAACGGTACGCCTACAAGATGAAGCATCAGTAGATATCAGTATAGGCGTGCCAAAATTTAAGACAAGAAAATTGCAACAATGCTGCTAAGAACAAGGAATTGGGCTCATAAAATCATTAGCCAGGAGTACCATTTGGCGAAACGAGCACCCTGTTGGTAGTAAGCAGCGGTTCGGGAAGCAAGGCCATCAAGCCCTTGGCACCAGGACTCATCATTTGAACCAGCAAGGGGAACCAAACCCTGCTCCAATCCAAATTAGCGTATAAGTATCATTAAATGTGAACCGCCAAATAGTTTTTCTAGTCTCTAATAGTTTAAATCATTGTACAAGCTGAATGTAAACCGTTAATGAATTTCTATCGTCTAAGCACAAATTTGTGCATTACCTTGTCAACTTTGATACCGGGGACAATGTTTTGCTCGACTAGGACATCAACCATCTTTTTGCCATCTGTGGTGGATTGGTAGAGAGTCTCTTCAAAGAGGATAGCACCGGAGATGTACTGGCCAAGGCCTGGGGCTGTCACAAGTAGGGTACGGTAAGCTTGGCGATTGGCCTCAGTGTTCTCAAGGCCAATTGAAGCAAGACGCTTTCCACAGGTAGCATTTGATTCATCCATGGCCAGAATTCCACGGCCAGGTGATGCAACAGTTTTCTGCATTATTTAGTTTTCATTGTTAAGTCCATTTACAGAGAGTGGCAGCACTAAAACTCGTCCTAAGGTGTAAAACGGGCTGCACTACGAGGATGCTGCCCTACCCGGCCCGGAGAGGATCACTTACCCGACCCAACCACTTTTACACCTCTAAACTCACCCCTCTTTAGTTGCATTGCGTGTTCAAAATCTTTGTGCTATATACAGGATTTTGGTTATCAACTAGTACTAATTGACACTTTTACAAACTTTGTTGAAGATAAAATCGTTCAGAACATATATTAGATCTCGTGTTACGTGTTATTAGTTAATGTTAATAATCTCTAGTCGTACACAAGTTAATAGCTGTCAGGGCCTGAGCAGCCTGAGAAGGAGCCATGGCAGCCTTAGCCGAGCCTGTTCGCTTCACACTCTAAACTCATCCCTCTTTCCTTGAATTGGTATGCTTTAGTGTGTTCAAAATCATGTAGTTTGTGCTCAATACATGATTATCGTTATCAACTAACACATAATCCAATCGTATACAAACATGGTTCGAGAAAATTCCATCAAGTTGTGGAACCTAATTATATATTATCGCTATGCGGAATTCATATGGATATTGACTTTTACGGTAAGGTCACCAGCCCCATCTCGGGGTGTAGGGGGCAAAGCCTCTATACCTAAATTTCATTAAAGATATTTTATGAATTTTAGGCTTGTAATTTCAATGTTCCTAATCTTTTTTATTAATGGGAAGTCATCATTATGTGTTATATGATCATAAAATAGAGAGATGTTAGAGAAATTAGAGTGTAATTTTTCTTTTGTAAACTTCTTATCATCATAGTGAATACAGCATTAAGGCAAAATCTATAAATCTTGTATTCTTGTGTATCTATTTTTTTTCAGAAATTTTATTACTCTCCGTGGTATAGAATTAGAGTTTCTAGTTCTCAACAGATCAACCTATTTCTTGCATGTACGAATTGAAGACTTTTTGAAAAAAAAAAAAGAAAAAGAAAAAATATAGACCGAGGAATGAATGCTTTTTGTTTATTACTTATATATTCAAATTCGATGCTGCTTACCATTTTATTACTGCATGTTTATAACAAGTGGTTCACAAACAAACCTCTACACTCATACAAACTGAAGATAACGAGCTAACATTGAAAGCAATAAGACATGTACCGCGGTCTTAACGAGCTCATCTGCATAAGACGATGCCCGGATTGTGAGTGAAGACGGCACATTCGGGTGGCACCGGACGACGGAGACAGAGGGTTGGCGAAGGGACTGGCCCTTAACAAACTCAGCTTTGTCAAGAACAGGAGATGACTTAAGGAGTGATGCTGAGGCCATTGCTATAATTTGTTGACACACAAATGGCAATAGGCCAACCCTTAAACACAAAATCTTATCTCTTTGGTTTTCTCTCTTTGCCACAAAACCCTGATTCTCACTACTGAATTTATAATTGTTTACTGAGTTGTGTTGTACCAAAAGATGTGTCATTTGAGGCTGTCATGCACTGGCCAATGGGTAGTTTCCACGTGGCAGAACTTACAAGTGGTCGAAATAGATGGGATTATTCCCACCTGGTAAAAAAAATGAAAAATGGGATTTTGATTTGAACAAAGGGATGATATTTTTAGGCTAAAGAATCCAAAATAGTGTAATCTGAGGCTGTCGTATTTCGTCACCTGTATGTTTGTTCGATAGTTATTTTATGGTTAAGGGCTCTGATTTAGTTACAGGATTTGGTGTGATCGTGATCATTGTGTCAACCGAGCATAATTTGCCATGAACGAGTGGCCAAATCGAGTCAGCTAACAATCCTTTGGGCCAACAACAAGGGCATATTGTTGTCTTGTTGTTTCTTTTTTAATTAATATTCACTCGTCTATAACTTAAATTTATTAGGGACGTAGAAAGTTATTACAAGTCAAATATTGAATTTCTGGAATCACCAAGTCAGGATTAGTGTCGATCATGTGCACCAATAGGGAGTAGATAGTAAAACTTCTATTTGCTAAGTTAAAGCTTGGTTTGTGAATTTATAGGCACCAAGACCAGTTCAAGTATTAGCTTTGCTTTTTTAAAGTAATGAGATCCATGATTTTTTTATTTTTTTAAAAGAAGTGGAGAATTTTTAAATTTTTTTTTTTTATTCTCTATTTTAGTACAATTTGCCTTAATTTATCAATTTCTGGGCCCATTGGTAATGTCAATGGATGGAAAACACACAATATAATAAATATGAAAATCACAACATCATCACTTTTACAAGGACGGAACTCGAATTAAGCCATTCTTTATTAAAATCAGATTTTTAGTAGATTTTGATAAAAATTGATGAAATATGTAGTTGAAAGGAAAAGTAGTGAATAATATGAAATGTATGGTTAAAATTAATCATTAACTTTGACTTGAAATTTTAATTCAACCCAAATAGGAGCTAAATTCGATTGGGGAGAACATGAACTTCTGAAGTGGGCTAAAACTTTTTTGAATTTATTTTATGAAGAAAAAAAAAAGGAAAGGAAATTTACCCTAAATTGTATCCAAGATTAGCTTCAAGATCCATCCTGACTTTTTTTGGTTTAATTCTTGAAGATAGTGGTCTTCTTTTTTAGGTTTTACTTCTAGCTTATTAGGAATGAAATATCAAGTAAATATTTAAAAATGTCTCCATAAAAGTTCTTTTTGGCTCTTTTACAATTTTAAGCCCATGTGGCGTTGGTAATGTAACATCTCTCTGTTTAGAAAAAAGTCTTTAAATCATGTCAGGCTAAGGATGACAGGGCTGTGACATACGAGGTCAGTTTGCTAATCAATGGTCATCATTCTCAATGTTTATTAAATAGACCAATTTTGATATTCTAAAATTTACGAGGCACATGTGATCCATGCTGAATTGGACACAAGTCCTAACATGAACCTCTAAAATGTGTAGCTCAACTCGTTTTACACCTCTAATTATGAGCATGCACAAGAGCAATCACACAGTAAAGTGTTCAATCACAATTTAGTTTCAGCACACAGAACATGATCAGTACATCTACTTTGTTTCGTCTAAAAACTTTCAAATGGACTGATATGTTGGAAGATAAGCATCTGTCATGTTGTGAGGTATATCGTTAAAAGTCGTGGCATGGTACACAGTAAAATGAGGGCCACAGGCGTACGAAGGAGGCCAAGTTATCACTAGAAGGCTGCCCCCACTGATGGCCGACCGCCCACCCCTCTTGAGAGCTCATTTCAAAGGATGAGGCCGAGCTCAGGAAGTTGAGTTCGCCCATGGATAGACGTGCCATTGGCTACCATAACAATGAGACAGAGAGCTCAGCAAGGACTAGCTCGGCTCTAGCTTGGCACACACTGTAATTTACCTACACCATCAACTCCAGCCCTATATAAACTTCCTGAGGGATCAGTTCCGAGGTCCAAGGCCATGTCGCAATTTGTACTCGACAACTTGCTGTTCTTGTGCTATAACTATCATTGCAACTACAATTCTGACTTCACTGTCGGAATGGGATTGGCCACCACCCCTTCCTCTGGTTGCTGATCTCACTGGACGATGACATGTTTTGCACGTCTTTCAGCTGGAATCACACATTCGATGGCAACAGTGTTTCTTGGCCAGAAAGACATCAATTGCCATTTTATTCAAAATCTGCACAGCGGTCGGATTATTAGAGAGAATTCCAGCCAATGTCTGGTATTTCAAGATTTTGTTCAGACAAGGCAACATCTTCTGGTTGAAACCACAACTTTAGGCGGCTCAATTTCTGTAGAATTAAGGTTTAGAGAATAAACAGGGTATCTGTCATATTCTACCAACGGCGATAATGATACAAAGACGTGAAGTCGACAAGTCGTCAGTGCATGCCCCAAAATGCAACACATTGAACAGCTCGATCAAAACCCAAGAGAAATCAACACATGTACAAGGTTTTCAAGAATTCAGTTACACAGTAGCATAATATAAGATTTGACAATGTGATGAGGTGGAGATGCAACCACTATTCCCAAAAGCTATAGCTGATGGGAGAAGTGCAATATATTCTTATATCACCAAGAATCAGTCCGGGAATCCACCCCAAACACTACTCTTTTCGATCTTCACTTCTCAGTAACCCTTATGAAACAGGCCCAACCTCATGTTCAAATGATACTCCCCATCACTCAGAGCAAGCACCCGCACTCAATATTCTCATTGATCGTAAACAGCAGGGTGAACCAAAGTCCATTCAGTAATATCTCAGCACCAGATAACAACATAAATGAAGAGACTTAAGTATAAATATACACTTGCATCTTTCTTGTCAGAGATCACTCGTTTCTGACATAAGAAATTTCCATGAACTTTGAAGTATAACATACAGTGATTTTTATTTATTTATTTCTTTTTTATTTTTTGACATAGAACACAAACATTCATGTTAAGCAAGATCGCCAGCAGGTGAAATAGAAAAAGAAATAAAATCGGTCCAAAGGTGTATGTCGGCACTCAAAATAGTAGCTAAATCCTCTATGAGACGTAAAGCAACAAGTACCACATTCAACTTCCAATCACATAGCAACAATACCTAAATAAAATAGGAGCAACATTTTTCAGTCCATTTATTATGTGAAGGGCCTTGCATTCCACTATGACATTGCACGAACAGTGCAGAGAAATTGATCTAAGATACATGATGAATGAATTAAGAAAAAGAGTGTCCACGATATCCCTCCATTATACTTAAATATCTTTCCACTAGATCTAATAATGGCAAAGAAGGATTCGTATCTCCGATTCCAGATTTATGGGAAGTAAGGCTTACTGGCTTAGTGCTTGTTGGACGCATAATACTGAAAAAGACTATAGTATAACGAACAAAACTTCACATTCTTTTTCTTTATCAATATTATTCCATGCTAACTAATCCTTGTTGCGAAAACATAGCAACAATAAGGGACTGTGACAGAAACATGTCACGAAATTCAATGAAAAACATAGTCATCTTCAAAAGAAGCAAGAAATCCCAGCATAAATTTGTTACTGAATGAAAATCTAACAACCGGTGATGAGAATATCATCTCAACTAATATTCTTAAATTAACTAAAAATCCCGAGAAGGTTGCTCATAAGATATTTGAAAAGAATTTCGTTTTCGCTATATAACCCAACAATTTGTTGGATTTTTCGTTTTACATCAATAATCTATTCTCGTTACAGAGCAATAATTTCGATCAAATTAGCATACAGAACAGGGCTTTCTACTTTTTTGCAAATAGAACAAATAAAAAAAAAATTAGAGAGAGAAAGTATAACTTACTAGGAATGTTACTGAAGTAGGGTTCATGGAATGAAACAATTTTAAGCCCCAAAATGTATAAAGAAATTACAAAAAAAAAAAAAAATTCCGTTGCCGGGACTT